ATATCACTATTTAAAATACGTTATTTTCTCAATAATATCCATCAAACACCCCCTCAATTTCATTTGCTCCCGTTTGTTTCTCATTTTTCATCCATAAAAATGAAAAATATGACCGTTATCCATCACATCAAGCCATTAATTTTGAATTTCTACATCTTGTGTGGGGTCCAATAACGACTATATTTTTCATTCTCAGTCTACAATAATGAGAATCAAATGGGCTCATAACCTCGTATCTTTAAAAAAGCATTTTCCAATGCTAAAATCTGTAGTAAAAATTTTTCCGTCACAAAATCTTAAAAACGTTTTAAAAATTACTCACATTAAATTATAAATTTTAATATCAAGAAATAACACACAAAACATTATACAGAGATAACTAAAGAGGAGATTATAGTTTTCTCAATTTGTACAGAAATGTACATCATTCTAAACCTATACACAACATAGCCAATGATTTTTACTATAAAATATATCATATCAAGCCAGAGAACTCGTAATCAAAGGCGCGAACCTCTTGCGGAATCATTGCATAGCATGGATCATCAGTAGTGTAATTAGAAATTTGATCCATCTCAAATAGCAGTGATTCTATATCCCCATACTGTGATGAAAAATCGATATTCTGTGAATATTCTAATAAATAATTCATATGTTCTGTTGGCCGGTATTGTAGATCTGGACTTTCTGATGGTGTACTGAAACATGTTGATGAATCAGATGAAAAGTCGAGGCTATTTTCTTGATATGAATGACCTTCTGTATCTATAATTGTCCTAACTTCCTCTACGGGAGGGGATATAGACGCATGAGGAGGAGGCGGAGATGAGACCATGACCGGAGAATTTCCATGTCCAGTGAGTTCTTGAACAAGATTCTTGAAATTTGAAGAATCTATGATGTAAACTTTGGGACGTAAGTTCTTGATCAAATTGTTGATGGGATGTTTCTGTTTCTTGTCGTTCTTCGATATTTTCATGGAAGATTGAATCGATTTCTTCCCCATCTTATAAGGAAGAATAGGGAAATTTGGTTACTATTTGGCCTTGTTGCCTATATCTGAGGATACTAAGAGGTATTAATATATATATACGAGGAGGTTTTTACAATTGAAGGTGGAAGACAGGATATTTGACTTTATTCTATTTCTAAGTAAGGTGTGAAAATTACAGTATATAACCACCAGTCGTGTTCGTTACGAATGTAAAACACATAAAGAATATGCTAAGTTTTGAAATTGCATGGACGTGGTTGGTTTACTTGATGAGGTTGAGTCAAGGGGAAAATGACATAAAAAACTAATAAAATGATTTTGTAAACAACAGTGAAGGCACGTAGCTAACTATTCACCATTTTGTCTTCATCTTGACAACCTAGTTACACATCAAATTTCAGACAAGGAGAGAGAGAGAGAGAGAGAGAGAGAGAGAGGAAATAATTTTCAAAAGAACAAATCAAGGACTAATAAGAAACAAAAACACAAAAGGATGGCCTAATCTTTTAACAATAATAAGAAAGTATGTTTAATTTACTAACAAAAATTAGGATTGTGCTTCTTAATCTTTTAATAGTTTGGTTTCGTGTCTCTATCATTCAAATGTAAGGTTTCGAGTCTCCCACCAAATAAAATATATGAATATAGGTTCTCACATAATGGAAACTGTCAATTTTGATATTAAAACTGCATAAAATTTTCACGTGACTTAAAATTGGAGAGTAAAATCTGCTTAATATCAGCTATCTTTCTGTCACATAAAAGATGTATTCATTTAACCGACATTTTTCGATGTGTATGAATCAATGTTTACATATTTAAATAGCTTTAGGATTGAAAATTTCACTTGTAAAGATTAGAAATCCAAAATAAATACCATTTGAGAGGTGCGATCGTCTGGCATAGCTACGTTATTCACTGCTTTTGCAAAACATGTCCTTGCAATCGCATGGGTTGTTGTCCTACGAACGCATGGATCAACTATCGACTATATGCAGTTTGGTATCTATTTTTAATTCTCTGGTCAGCTCAAGTTTGTTGTAATTGCAATTCAAATCCTTGATCTTTCAATTCATATCAAGTTGGTCCTCATGTTCAAATTAAGCACAAAACTCATCCTTTTCGCTCTATTTTCAATTTTTTTCTCAAAATCTTGTCCAACATCGAGTTTTACCGTAATATGAGATTAAGAAACGATGCCTTAAAAATAAGGATGGCAATTCGAATTGTTAAAATCGAAAATCGCGGTTAACCGAATCGAATGGGGTGAAAAAAATCGAACCGATGGGGGCGATGGGGCGGTTATAGTTTTGATTTTAATGAACCGCTTCATTTAGGGGTGAGTCTGGTATTTAGCTATGGTGCCCCGTTCCGAA